CGTTAGCGTTGAATAGACGCAGTCGCTGTGATTTAAAAAGCAGATTTATTCGCCTGCTTGTGACCTTTCCTATACACCTAAGACGTATTTTTAAAAGTAGGTTCTTGTCTCTCCCGACAGGTTTTTACACAACAACCGGATTGCGCATTTGGTCCCGGGGACATTTAACCACTTGGAATCCATGAAAAGACTGTAAGTTGTGCTGGCTCCTCTGCGCTCCCCATGCCCGGGCCTCCTCCTGGGTGTGGTGAGACGTGTGTCGCCTGCATGTAGTTCAGGAGACAGAACCTTCCTGAGGGGACAGACTCCGCCCGTTAGAAGGCCCAGGGCATGTGGCAATTGGCTATTCCTTGTGTGGGCTGATAAGATGTTTTAAAAGCCATTTCAAAGCCTTCGCCTGGATTTTAATTCATGGTGCGTATGTCCCCTGTGGAAGTAAAGTCCGTCTGTGGGGAGCCCTGCTCCGGCTCCATACCTGCCGTTAGGTGGACACGTCCACAAACACGTGAAGCGGACTGCGGTTTGCTTGCCCCGTTTCTCAGCCTCTGAAGTGATTTTTCTCGTACTGAGTCATTTCTTATAATAGACTCAGTCCTGATGGGAAAAGCTGACGTGTGTTTTTGCTTTCGGTTTGGAGGCCGTGTTTCCGGTCATGAGTTAGTTATTCAGTACAGCGGACCGCACTGAAGACACGAGACAGACTTTCATCTCCATTTATTAATGTTTTCCTTTAGGGTAAAGCAGTCAGCAGCCAAAGTACAACACATTCTCGGGGGGAGATGGGGTGCGTGCTGCACAGTGAAGAGTAAATAGGAGAGAAGCGGAGAACCGGCCAGGGGTTCCGACAGCCCAGGCGGGCGGGCCGGTCCACGGGGTGAAGCATATGCTGTGTCCAGACTGAGCCAGTCCTTTGACCTTCATCCTCTCCTCCCTGCCCTGTTTGCTCCTCGACTTGGCTCAATCTACGAAAACCTAGATTTTGAGGCCTGTTCTCACTCCAGACACCAGAGCGGGGCACAGACTTGACAGGCTCCCATCCCTTGTCCCTCACCAGCTGGTCCACCGCGCTGCCCCTGGCCTGTCCCACCTACAGAGGACCTGCTATTCTGAGGGGCCGCCAGGTCCGAGGGAGCCAGGCACATGCCCCCCCATGTCCATGCACTCGATCCCTGCAGCCTCCCCACCTGAGGGCCCAAGCACAGGGGAGCGGTGTCCTCATGGGGGACCAAGCTCGAGGTCTCTGCCTGCTGGGCAGCATCTCACCCCCACCCTGCATACCCCCGGACCCTTTGTGTCTCCTCCTGGGGAGCCAGTACATCCCACCATGGGGGTCATCAGAGAAATGACCGTCCAGGCAGAGGATCAGTTCTGCCCATGGTTCCCGTGGAGCCTGTGTCCTAGGAAAGACAGGTGGTGGGGGGTGGGAGTGTGACATCACAGGCCTAGGGCTCCCAGGGGGCCTGGGCCTGCAGTGTGGACTCAGAATGGTGAGGTCACCCCACGCTCCCCACACCTGAGCTCTGGGCCCCTGAGATCCTCCTCGGTGAACCACGCAGCACCTGCCTCAGTTGCAGGCTCTGGCCCCGGTTGGGGTGCGTGCGAGAGGCAGCCAATTGATGTGTCTCTCTCACATCGAGGTTTCTCTCTCTGTCTTGCCCTCTCCCTTCCACGCTCTAAAAAAAATCAATGGAAAAATAGGTGAGGATTAACAAAAAGAAAACAAAGACAACCCTTTACGAAGTAGCGCTTGGCTGCAGAAGATGCAGGATTTATACAGCAAGAGAGGAAGAGCCCGTCCTGGGTGCAGTCCAGGTGGTGTCGTTCGGGGACGGTGAAGGGCCCAGCGAGATGACCTGAGGACAGGCCTGCACGGAGGGTGCAGGGCGGGCCCGGACTCACTGCTCCTCCTCACAGGCGGCTGGACTCCAACGCGCTGCACTGCGACTGTGAGATCCTGTGGCTGGCGGACCTGCTGAAGGCCTACGCCCGGTCGGGGAACGCGCAGGCCGCGGCCACCTGCGAGTACCCCAGACGCATCCAGGGCCGGTCGGTGGCCACCATCACCCCCGAAGAGCTGGACTGTGGTGAGTGAGCCGTGTGGGCGTGGCCGAGGGTAGGGGCGTGGGCGTGTCCGAGGGTGTGGGCATGGGTGTGTCCGAGGGTGTGGGCGTGTCCGAGGGTGTGGGCGTGGCCGAGGGTGTGGGTGTGGG